CTCCCAAACCCTAACCCCCCGACCAGCCCAGCTGAAAGATGGCTCCCCCGTAACGCTGTACCCGGTGGCCAACGGCCCGCAAAGCATCCCCGCGGACCTGGTTGCGCTGCTGCACCGCGAGTTCAGCGCCGAGATCGAGGCCGCTGCACGTACCCGATGGAGGAACCCATGACGCTGGAGCGCTTCGCCGAGTACTGGTTCGGGACGTTTGCCGTTGTGGCTGTCCTTGGGGGAGAGGAAGAGGGGGGCCTTCGCGAGGGCCGTGATTGGGAGAGGGAGTGTTTGGGGACGTTTTATATTAAGCCTAATTATCCTGGTTTGTTTTCTCTTTTCTTTTCTTTTCTTTTTTTTCTTTTTTTTTTCTTTGGGGGAGAGTGAGTAAGTGAGTGAGTGCTGATGAGGTTTCATGGACAGGCCGGTGTTCGCACGTCTGCAATGCAGGGTTCCTGACGACGGTTGCTGCGCGCGGCCGTGGCGTGGGCATCGTCATGGGCGAGACATATCTGCAGTTTGCGCCCAAGTTGGTAAGTTTCCTTGCTGTTGTTTCTGTGGTGTGTATGTGTGTCCTTGTATGTCGGTGTTGACTGCGTTAGGGCTACAAATACTCCGTCTTCAACCTGGTCTTTGAGAACAATGTTGCGTCGGTCAAGATCTGGGAGCGACTGGGTTTCAAGATCATTGGGCGCGTGCCTGGGGCAGCGCGGCTGGCGAATAGTGAGGAGTTGGTGGATGCGTTGATTATTGGGAGGGATTTGGTTTAAATGAGAAGGAGGGGAAGGGTGGCTTGGGGTGGGATTGTATATAGATAAATAGATGAAATAGATTCGTGGATTTATACCTGTGATAATGATCAATGAGTACCTTTAGCTAGGCTAGGTTGATATAGGGTTAATGGTGAGTACAGGGAGGATTGCATTTCTATCCATGAGAAGATAACATGGGTTCTAAATGGACATGCAGCATTTATTGGAAGAGTTAGTTCAAGGCTCTGCTGGCTATATCAAATGCAATTAACTGGTAAATGATGAAAAAACAGCAAATAGAAAAAAAAGAAGAGAGAGATCATAAAGCCAATGCCATGCACCATACAAGAACGCTAATCACAATCACAATGCGAGTGGGGAATCAAGAAAACCAGTCTGACCCGCAACGATATGGTATATGGCGACACCACAAAGCACCCGAACCGCAATGCACATAATACAGGGGCAATAAATATGCTAGTATAAGGTGAAATAGTACATAAAAACAGAATCCAAACATGATGAGGGTGGAGACAGACTCCAGCCAGTTACCGCCACGGTGGGCGTTCACTCAGCTTACTACGAGTGCCCGCACTGCTATCTCGCCCGCTTTTGTTTCGCGGCAAAGGAAGCAAGCTGATGCGACGACTGCCCCCATGGCCCAAGGCAGTCCCCGGGCGCTCAGCCTTGGTGGGACTGAGCAGGTTACGGGTATAATCGTGTGAGATACTGCGGCTGAACGACATCCCGGCAAAACTTTGCCGGTTTCGGGGAGTGTTGATGATGCCTTCCGCCCCTGGCGGACGCCGAAGCTTGCTGTAGGGTGGAGGGTCAAGGAGGGAGCGGTTGGGCGTGGGAGAACCAGTGCGGTTAGGGCTGCGTGATGCAAGGCGGCTGGAAACGCGGCTGGAGACACGGCTGGGGGACCGTGCTGTTGACGGAGCGGGAGATACAGCAAGATCTCGGCGGGACATCATTGACAAGGGACGGGGAGTGCGACTTGGAGCCGAGGACTTGCGGAATTGCGCGCTGGCCTTGTAGACATGACCGACTTCCAGATCATTGGTGTTGACACTCGAGTTCCATCGTGGGCGATTGTCTTTGACAGGTGGGGGCAGACGTGGCACCTTCTTTGCAGCTGGAGTAGGCGTAAAGAGACCACTTGGCTTAGGAGATGGGGCCGTCAGCGTTGGCTTCGGGATCGCCGATTTCTTGCTAGTCAGGGTTGCCGTGGGCTGGGGTATGCCTGAGTATCGCCGAACCTTGGCCACGGTACTGCGGGCGACTGAGCTCACAGAACTGCCCCGTCTGCTCGAGCTTCCCAAAGAAGCACCCGAGCCTTTGTTAGCAGGGGTCATGACCACCGATGAAGGTGGGGAGCTGCCGGGAGTGTCGATAAGGCTAGTGGCCGGGCTGTCCATGGTGACAATCGTTGATATAGAGTCGCGCAAGTGCTGGCCCGGCGCCACGTTGAATTCTGTAAGCGATGAATCCATCACCTCCACGCTCCTTTTCAGCGCATCCATCCTCGACGCCATGTCTGACAGGAGATTCACCGTCTCGCCATTCACCGTCAGTTGATCCTTTACTCCCTTCTCGATGAGAGATATTACTCGTTCGATCGCAGGGACGTAATGTTGCTTCTTGGCCTCGTAACTCTCGACGCGCTTCGCTAGTCCCGCCGGGTTATGCACATGAGCACCTGTTTCCAGGGCTTCTTGCAACTTGGCAATGCTTCGTTCAACCGATAGAAACATTTTCCTTGCTTGCATGCCAGCATTGCGGAAAACAAGAACCCACCGGTCCTCACTGAACTCCTTCCGCAGAGCTTCCGCATCTGCCTCCAAGGTCCGATAGCTCTTCTCTAGCCCTTTTCGCCGCTCTTCCATCTCCGCACAGGCGCTGGGGAAGATCCTTTCTGCTCTGCCCTGAAACATGGACAACCGCATGGGCAAGAAGGCAAGGGATGCCCGCAAGGGTTGTATTCGGGCAAATACAGCGATGAGGTCCGCATGCTCCGAGTCATCCTGTGGGGTTTGAATGAGCGGGGTATCGAGGGTCGGTGGCGCATCGAATAAGATACTGTGCCGGTTACTGTTGGAAAAGTGTCCGTCATTCGGTGTTTCCTCGACGATCGTCTCCAGCTCGCTAATATCGAGCCCAGAGCTATTCGACTCCTGCTCAGCGGCCCATGCATTTGCCATATTGATGTGTCGCTTCTCTTCGATCTCGAAGAGTAGCCGGCTCAGACTCTCAACTTCAGCACTGACGTCCCCCAAAATGGTATTCCAGAGCTCCTCCCATTCCATAGCCAATTCCACTTGTTCCTTCACATTTCTTAGTCGGTTCTTGATATCCGCCCAGCTCTGTAATATACTGTCCATCTGGATCACAATGGTCTTCAAACTGTCTGCACTAACGTCGCCAATATCGACTCGGAGCTGTACATCTTCAATGGCTTTCACGTAAATGTTCATCAGACCTTCGAACCGTGTAATTGCCTTGTCGATCCCGTCTAATCCTTCTCGTCCGCCTGCTGCTGCCCACTCCACTTCGTCCTCCGCATCTAGACCACTTAACACATCGGAGGCCTTTTTGATCCATATCTGAATTTGTGCTGCGGACCCCGTGAGGGATTTGACGGCCAATGGCGCGTTGGGTATTGCGGCAATGCTGGCTTCAAGGGACGACGGTTGGGGCAGTGGGATGGAGGTAAGCTGGGTGAGCTGGTGACTGAAGGATGCGCGAGAGAAGGAGTATATTGATTCGGGGCGCTGCAAACCCCGGGGGTTAAAATAGGATTGTATGTTCGAATTAGCCGACGGTGGGCGCGGCGAGTCTTTTGGAGGAGGCGGTGGAGCTTGCTCAGCTTCGTTGTCACTAGTACTTTGGAGAAACTTCTCGTAATCTGTTTGGTCATGTTCGCCATGCGTATTAGGGGGAGCACCCGATTCGATGTCTAGTGGCGCTGGCAGAGACGCAACCGCAGCCATGGCCACTGGAGCTTCTTCCGGCTCTTCCACTTCTTCCACTTCTTGGGTTAGACTGACGTCTACTGCTTGATTGACTAATGTTTCTTCGACGGGTTCTTGGGTTGCGACCGACGTGGAGCTTTCCTCGACAGGTTCTACCGGTTCCGACTCCACTGGGGAAGGCAATTCTGTGTCCGGGTCGTGAACCTCCAGGTAGGTCGACTCAATCTGTTGCGGTTGTTTACCTTTGCCACCAAAGTGTACAGCATTCCACGACCGCCCTCTCTTTTCAATCTTGATCGAAAGGTCTTTGTTGCGGCTGTCTAATTCCTTGATGTGCTCCTCGGGGATTCGACCAACGGCGCCTGGGTTACGGGTGGGAATCGCGGTCTTGTGACTCCCATCCAACAGCTTGACGCGCGCAGCTAGACCAGGAGACAAGCGGCGAAGGATGGAGGGTCGAATGAGTGATTTGTCCGACCCAGCCTGCTCGTAAATATCGTCGAGATCGTCGTCGTGAAGGCTACTTCCAAGATGCGGAGACTGCGCAGGGATGATTTGGACTTGATTCGTCGCGGCGATGGATTCTCTGGAGGAGAGACGGCGACGGCGGGAGGTGGAGGCGGAGGGGGAGAAGATAGCAACTGCGATAATGACGATTTCGTGGGCGTCTTCGGACCGGAATCCGGGTGGGTGGGCGCAGTGGTGACAGTTGACGTGGTGAACATGGTACGTATTGACGGGGCGACCGCCCTGGTCTGTTTGTGTTGTTGCAGTAGTGGGAAAGGCTAGAGAAAGATAGCGTGGAATGTGGTTGGGGCAAATCAACGCTCTTTGGGCGCGTCTTTGGGTTCTTGGGGGGGGAAATTGTTGGTATGCAAGACGGTCCCCCCTTTCTAATATGACCACCCTGGTCGCTTTTTGTTGGTTGTCTGCAAGTATAAATAAAGAACAAGAACAAAAAACAAAAATATATCAGACTAGTAAGCCAGCCACTAGTTAGTATTTATGTGCAGTCAGACAGTTTGCAAGAGTAGTCCAGCGCGTGAGTTCTCTCGAGAATAACAATTGGGGGCGATACAGATGATCGGCTACATGATAAGTAGTTGTTGTTCGTTGGTTGCAGTGGTATTTTTTTTGGTTTTCTTGGTTTGGGCAGCGGGTAATCTGGCGGCGGAGGGAACCTTAAAAGACCGCAGTCGAATTGGGAAAATTAATAAAACCAAAGGATATGAAATCAAAATGACACTTTCCTCTTCTCCCTTGATTTCCGAAAGCCGTTGATCGTCCTTCAGGAGAACACCGCTAGTAGTGTATATTTCCCCTTCCAGGTAAGGTCGTCTCGTCTCTAGTTCAATTTTGAGTCGTCTGTTGGGTAAGAAAAACAAGGAAATTATGGTTTTTGCTTTCTCTCTTTTACTTTTCGGCTTTTTTTTTTATGTTTTTCTTCTATTCCCTTTTCTCTATGTTATGAAATTCTCCATTTCACCGGTTTCTTCACATGTACAATCAAAACAAACCTTAAAAAAAACACCACCCATGGTCAGGTATGTAATCCATGGTATGTTTGGTACCGTTCATACCTGAATATCTGTTATGTACAACACATCCCGCGGTACCTGGACTCCGAAATCATCCTTTTAGGCATATCCCCAAAATCCATAGTCTTGAAAGAAATTAAATAGAAAGAATACACAAAAACATGATGCTGATGACGATCATGGTTATGATGAATGGGAAAAAAGAAAAGAGACAAATTGATCATCACCTCAGCCAAAAGAGGCATATGATTAAAGATGGAACCACCAGAGAAGAGAAAATCAATCGAATAAAAAGAAAACTCCCACATAGCAAGCAAGTCTCCAGCAAGTAAGGGGTATCAAAGTGGACAGCAAACAAACGTAATAGTGAGCCCAGAAGACTACGTGGTCCCAGCCATCAGGCACCAAACTCTCCTTCATACCGATCGCGTCCTTCACGCAGGGTGGACCGCCCCGTCATGGGGAGGCACTGCATTAGCACTCCCTGGGTCAGGCCCCCGCCAATCTCGCATCAGCTCTTCGCGAACTGCCTTGCACCAAGTAAGGATGGCTATGTCAAACTTCCTCCAAGCCTCATCGCTATTCCCGTAGACGACCCCCATCACATCCAGTTCTAACTTGGTTTCCCACCGGATTTCCGCAGCTTTGGTCCAGTACCGAATATTATCCGCCCGCCGGTATGGTTTAGCAACATCCTCATGGAAGGCTTTGATTTCGCAGAAGGGTCTCTTGGATTTCTTTACGGCCTGGTTATGGATTTGAACCAGGCCGCGCCCATCTCGGAACCACTCGAGCATCGGAGTTGGTAGGGTTTGACCTTCGGGGGCTGTCCATGTTGGCAATGCATCCGTCTCCAGCAAACTACGCAGGAAGGCTTCCTCGCGTGCCCTCTCTTTACCACTCCAGTCTCCACGTGCCCACGCCCATCCTTGTCGCTCCTGGCTTCCGCCTCCTCCATATGAGTTTCTTGCGCCAGCATGCTGCGCACGTTGGCCATCCAACTCATGATGGCCGATCGCTCGTCGTCCCGGAGTCCACCGGTGAAATTACGAGAGGCCCATCGTTTCAGGACTTCCAGCACGTCAAACAATTCCTGTCGGATTTCCCGCTCACTTTTGATCGACGCCAGTCGCTCCGGCCGTTCATGGGCGGTATAGTAAATCCTGGCAGCCCGAATCGCAAGAGTCACAACATCCAAGATACGCATGCCTTGAATCTCGTGCCAACCCAATGGGATGGCTCCTGCTGACATCTTGCGCGCCGGATCGCCCATGTCAGGAATTTCGTCTACGCTGATACGTGGAGGCTTCATGTTTCGCGGCGGCTCCTTCTGGGATCCAATCGTCTCCATGCTCTTTTCGGCCTCATCTAACGCATCCCGGAGATCCTTTCGCAGGGCTACGAGATCTGGCGGCGGCGGGAGGTGGAACGTTTTCACACTATAGGTGCTCACTGTCGGAGGCAGCATCACCTCGTGCTCATCGAACTCCTCGTCGGCGGGTTCCGAGCTCTCGTCCGTCGGGCTCGCGGTCAGATCCTCGATGAAGCGAGCATTTGGGGTGAGGAGTAGTCTCGGTATGTCTTCTGGCTTTTGCTTCTTTTTCCACTCCCGAGCTTGGCCGCCTTTCCCTTCCAGCAAGCCTGTGCGGGCAAAGTAATACTGCAGATGCGCTATACTGCCCAAGCTCATCACACTCTCGCGGTGTCTGGCCGAGTCAGCAAACTCGACCCCCTGGGGTCGGATGTACCCTCGTCTTCTCGACGAGACAGTGGACACGGAGGACCTGGCATCGGCAGATGTGGCGGACGAGACTGAACGGGACGAGAGGGTCGACACGGTTGAGACGGTGCGGTCTGACGGGGACGGACACGAGGATATAGCAGGCGTCGGTATGATGGATGGCGAGGGTGACGAGGCACGGACTGGAGGGGCAGCGGACTCGGACTCGATAGACTCATCCATAATCGCGTGGATCTAATGCGCTGACTCTTTCCGGAGGGAGGGTTCTGTGCAGCCCTGACGAAGAATTTATAGATCTGGGAATAATGCAAGGAGGGACACCGATCCGATAGTAGATAATGTGATATATCTCAATCCCAAGCAGGAAAGGACAGGTGGTCGTCAGGTCGACAACGGTCAGACGTTTATTAAAAATAGGGACTCGTCCTCGGTTGAATTTGTGACGGTGATCGATCGGCAAAGAGAACAATTCTTTGGAAGTTCGAAAGGGGGGCACTTTTTCCCACTAAAAGGGGAAGCGGGTCGATAGCGTCGTTAACACGTCTTCCTGGAATTAATTACCTCCTCGGTAGTGATGGTATTAATAGATCAATCTCGCGTCACGCCGGTGCTTCCGTTTATCCAGAGAAGCCCCTGACCCTTCTGCATATTCCTGTGGAATTGTGCTGGAGCTCTGCGAACCTACTCATCTGAGCGATCCATGGGTCTGGCGAGGACCCCTCGAAGGTTTCCCATGTTATCGATGCTTTCCTTTGCCATCTTTTTTTGTTTATCTCTTGGCGCTAGACCGGTTGGGGCTTAGGGCGGGTCCCGTACCTGAACGCCCCGGATTTCGACCAACCTTTTCATGAGCGCGGATCACCTTTTCCCAGCTTCTTCGACGCTTCGGTGTTTCAAGATGAAATTAAATGGCTTCCCAAGCGCAAGGTCTGACCGTCTAGGCAAATATATTCAAGCGGAGTTCTATATTTTATTTACAACCGATCCATGTGAAAATAAAAATGTGCTTTGCAACCATCATTGCGCCTGCGCCGTGCACAATGAAATCCATAATCAAACAAACTTGCTTCAACACAAGCCAGTCCTGCCAGGTGTTTTACTGGTAGAAAGAGACGAAACAAACAAAGAAAAGGAAAGAAAAGAAGAAAAGAAATAAACAAAAAACAAAGAGAAAGCTTTTGTCACGCAGTCCATAACGTGAACAAATGACACTCAAATCACTTCATCTCTCTCCCACCCCGTTGCTTTCAAATTCACAATGCCCTTGCCAGGATGAGCTTTGCTTGGGTCCTTGTATTTGACCGAGTACGGGTTGGGATCTGCGCCTTGGTTCAAGTTTCCTAGTGTGTGGTTCACCTCTCGGTGCTTGGCCTCATCGGCGCGGACATACATCAACAGGTCCTTCATAGTCCGTTGGCCCTCAGGCATCTTCCAATAATGAACGGCAATCTCAGGGGCTTCCAAGCTCGTCCACTTGGGGAGTTTCCCATTGTCGATATCTTGAATCGCTCGAGTGTAGGTGATCACTGCCTCTTCTTCAAGGTAACCAACGAATCGGTGGCAGATGCGCGGCGACATGAGATAGGAAAGGAAAAAGCCGTTGAAGAAGACGCCTTGTGCGCCAAGAACCATGAGTCGCATAAACCACCCTGGCTCGGCGAGTTTCAAGAAAGTGAGCAAGTGCATGCGCTCATTGTATGCCTCCTCGAGCAGAGTTTCGATCCATCCATTGTCCCTCTTCATCCGTCTCAAACTTCTCAGATGTCTTAACATGCCTCCAACCATTCCTGGCACACCAGCAACGCTCTCCAGGAAGACAAATCGTGTAAGCCATTTCTGCTCGGTCATCTGGAACTTGGCCTCATGTTCTTGGCCCGGGGGAGGATGTCGGTATCCAGTCACAGTGTCCATCCCCCATCGGAGCAATCGAACGGTGCTGAGTGCGACCCAGTCTGCCCAGTCCTTCGTTTCCCGGTGAGCGACTGTGACGTGGCGCATCTGTTCTTCAGTATAACTAGTACTGTCAGCACCCACTATTCATACTGACCAGACTGTTTTAGGCGAGAATGCTTACACAGGGTGGACCCAAGCCGTCTCTACCTCCTTGATATGAGGCGCAGTTGGTGGAGGGAAGAATTCCTTCGTTTGTGTCTGCGGCGTCGACGAGATGAAACGCTTGGTGTTCTGGTGGTTGATTTTGCTGGCGAGCAACGGACCGCTGCATCGTAACCCAGCAGTGGCAAGAGGACCTGTGCATCCTCGAACCGTGAGGTGCAGGTATGTCTTCGGAAATGAAGCTGCCCTAAGGGGCACTGTGGTTGTTATCGAATTCATCCGAGTATAAGTTATTGAATAATTGATCAATGATCTTAAGGTTAAGTAGTAGTAGTGGTGGTAGTAGAAAGAGTCTTGTTTTGATCACAAAGGCTTGCTGTTTACTGGATGCTGGTACACCACGCCTCTACTGTCTATCTATATATACTAGTGCTGGATAGGAGCTTATGGCAGAAATCGGAATAGGGCCGGAACCAGACAAAGCCAATATACTGTCATAGGGCGCAAAATCTTCTCACCAGAAGATGCTGACAATTAGGATGACCCTGAGCCACACCGGGACGACCAACTGAGATCCGTTTGCGGGATTCTGACATGCCTTTCAAAGGGCATCCAAGATATGGGACAGGTTTTCTTGGCGGGTCTTTCAGGGACCCAGACTTTCAAGCCTTTAGAAGTTACACCGAAGTTACATAGAAGCAACCATCGCGAACATCCTCTCGACACCTTATGCCATCAAATAAGATATCCTATAATAGACCTTCCCTGTACCCTTTCTGCAACTGAAGTGAAAGCGAATTCAAAAGTCTCCCCATTATCCCTATGCCCGAGAAAGAATCGAGTCATCCAACGGCAAGATACCGTATATTACATATTGATACCGTTTCTGTATTTTAAAAATATACGAAGGGGCGGGCAGATGACTTCGGTGGAAACCGGAACGGCGTCTGACTCAACGCGATGCCGAAGCTTGACCTCCGAGTCGACTCGGGACCGATCGTTCTTTGGTGGATTCAGTACCTAGTATAGTAGCTATCGGGCTCTCCATACGTCAGAGCCCTTGCAAATTTCGTTCTGCCTCGAACTCCTTACGTACAACAGACGCCGAATTCCTTATATGGAAGCCCTTCGTACTAGTTTTCTCATGAGCTTCACTTTCCCGGCCGAGAAGTAGAGATATCTTGACTGAGTCGATCCCCAGGTAAACGGGACCGAGATATCTCCATAGTGTAATAGTGGATATTTTTGGGCAATAGCGATATGATAATGGAGGGCCTTACCTCCCCTTCGCTAGTGTGCGATATGTGTGTGGAGGGGTGAGAGATACCTACCTCACTAATGGTATTATTCCATCCACTGGGATCTCCTTCTGGGATTAGCGGTGGTTGGCACTGGACTTGACTTGGTTTAAGTCACCAATGGTCGGTATAAGAAATGCAAGCTGACTTGTGCTTGCTCTGTCTATGATACTTTGATTGGCCACATTGTTGGTCTCTTTCAAGACTTAGTGGTCTTGAGACGGACAATTAGGATGGGACGCCTAATTGCCTCAGCCACGGAGAAACTCTGCATTCGTCGGACGAGTTGAACTTGTTCTTGGGTATCGTATCCAATCCAGGGTGCAAGAGATAGATGGGATTGCGGCGCCATCTCCAGCTCCATCAACCTCGGCGTGTTAGACCGCTGCACAGCCACCATGTTCTCACTACGTGGCCGTCAGAGAACTACGCATTTCTGGCTTCATGCTCTTCTTATCTGCTAGACCTTATTCTCATCGCTCGTCTGCGCCGAAATACCATTCCCATCAGCCATGGGCGGACTATACAAGGAGCTCCCTGAGGGGCTTGACGAGGTCGATGTCGTCATTGTCGGAGGTTCGTGGATCCAGTCCTCTGTACTGAGCTTCACCCTGTCAACATGACATGAAACCCGAGAGCTAATCAATGGATTTTTCACACAGGCGGAACCGCAGGCTGCGTCGTGGCATCTCGACTGAGCGATGCCTACCCATCCCTGTCCATTCTGATTGTCGAGGGTGGCCGAGACAACCAGGGCCTTCAAAATGTCACCTACCTATGCTCATGCTCAACAACATCTTGCCCGGAAACACCGACACGCTTTTCTATGAGGGCATCCCTGAGAAGGCTATGGGCCATCGCTCACTTGTCGTGCCGTCCGGCGGTGTCCTCGGCGGCGGCTCGTCTATCAACCTGCTCACCTACAGCCGTGCTCAAGCCATTGACTACGACCAGTGGGGAGTCGAGGGGTGGTCTTCCAAGGACTTGGTTCCGTATCTCCAAAGGGTATGTGATGCTGTGTCCACTGATCAAGTTCTTTGTGAGCAATTGAGCTCTCGTTGACTCGCTCGGTAGCTCGAGACCTATAAAGGTAAGGGCACGCCCGAGACACACGGCTACTTTGGCCCCATGGTCGTCACCCCAAGTAACTACACGGCAAAGGCATCCGAGGAGGGCTTCATCAAGGCGGCCGCCAAGCTCGGCTACCCAGAGGCCCGCGACATCCAGGACCTGGAGACCGTCAACGCCACGCAGCGCAACATCCGCTACGTGAGCGGAGGCAAGCGCCAGGACGCCGCCTCCAACTACCTGCACCCGCGCCTCGGTGACAGCCTCCACCCCAACCTCTACGTCCTCACCCAGCACCAGGTCATTCGTGTGCTCTTTGATGGCAACAAGGCCTCGGGCGTCGAGCTCAGGCCCAACCCCAAGTTCAACGATGGCACCGAGAAGCCTGTGCAGAGGGTCAAGGCAAAGAAGCTCGTTATCCTCTCCTCCGGCGCCCTGGGAACACCCCTTGTACTGGAGCGCTCTGGCGTGGGCAACTCGGAGATCCTTGGCAAGGCGGGCGTCAATGTTGTCGCCGAGGTGCCCGGTGTTGGAGCCGAATATCAGGACCATCAACTGATGACCTACGCATACTACTCGAGCCTCCTGCCCAACGAGACCTTTGACGCTATCTACTCAGGCCGCACCAACGTCGACGAGCTCATTAAGAAGAACGACCCCATCATGGGCTGGACCGCCGCCGATGTCTACTCGAAGCTCCGGCCCAGCGACGAGGAGGCCAAGGCTCTTGGGCCCGCATTTGAGAGCGCCTGGAACCGCGACTACAAGACCAACCCAACGAAGCCGCTAGCCATGATCACTTCGCTCAACGGGTAAGTCATCTCCAATCCCTTTTGGTCATCGTGATTGCAGAACATACTGAGAACATCTCCTCTCCAGCTTCCCCGGAGACCCCACCGGCCAGCCTGAAGTCCAGTACTTCTCCTGCTCCACCTTCACCCCGTACCCCTACTCCCGTGGCCACCTCCACATCACCTCCAAGGATCTTGATGCGCCCCTCGACTTCGCCACGGGCTTCTTCGCCGACGAAAATGATGTTGACATCAAGAAATCCGTCTGGTCTTACAAGAAGCAGCGCGAGATTATCCGCCGCATGGATGTCTACCGCGGCGAGTTTGCCCCGCTGCACCCAGCTTTCGCCGCCGACTCGGACGCCGCCACCACCTCGGAGCCTCTTGACGGCCCTCTGCCCGACGATGTGTCTGACATTGTGTACACAGCTGAGGACGATGCGGTGTTGGAGCAGTGGCTGCGTGCTAATGTGGGCACGACGTGGCACTCGCTAGGAACATGCAAAATGGCCCCCAAGAGCGAGGGCGGCGTTGTCGACTCGAGCCTAAGCGTGTACGGTGTCGAGAAGCTCAAGATTGCGGATCTGAGTGTGCCACCGGGCAACGTCGGTGCTAATACGGCCAATACTGCGTATATGATTGGCGAGAAGGCGGCTGATATTTTTATTCAGGAGCTGAAGGGGTATGATTATGGAGACGGCAACAACGGCGGCCCTTAATTATGGCACATACGTATAATAATGCTGCACTTGTGTATATTGTCTCGTTGCCGGCTCCCTTCTGATAATATGAATTCTAGCCATGACTTTCATTCGGAAAGGTAGTAGTAGCTAGCAGCCGTTTAGACTATTAGGTATCATATCATATATGCCATTTACTTGTGGCTTTCTCCTGCTGGCGAGACCTGTGATGATACCTGGCTTCTCAGTTCATCGTGAGCCTCGGACTAAGGATAATTAGACATTTCACTAATGTTTCCGAGCTCTGAGCGAATTTGAGCGAATTTGAGCAGGTCATAGTTCGGAGACAAGTCATGACTTCCGTGAGCAATGGTCTATCAAAGTCGTCCTTAATGCTTCGAGGAACACGTCTAACAGACGAATCCTTGCCTGTTTCCTTTGACTGGCATTCATAGTGGTATCCAGGAGTGTACAAATGAATATTGTCCCACAGTTTGGTATATACACCTCGTTCATTCGTATACACGTACATACAATCGTGCGCTCAAAGCCACAATCAACCCAGGCCACAACATATCACCTAATTACAATCAAGCAGTGAGAAATGAAATCAGTTTGTAGCATCAAAGGCCGACTCGGTGGTCCGCCTGACACCGAAATGGGTTTCACTATCCTGGACGGCAAGATCTTTCTTCTCCAGTTTAACTACATGTGCGAGTCGTGGGCCGTTGTTAATCTCTTTGAGCAGTTTTTGGATGGACTCTGGAGTTCCTTGGGCTTCTCCTTCGACCTGATGATCTAATCAGCCAGAGTATAATCTAGATATGGCATTGGCCATGTCCAGGGGGGGGGGGGGGTAAGAGAAGACAAACCCGTCCACAGTTGGTATTTCTCACCCAGCCTTTCAAGCCAAATTCGGATGCACGCTTCTGTGTGAAGTCACTGCGATATAGCAACTGTCAATATATTGCTCTGTTTGCTAGAGTGGCTGAGCCCTACCGGAAGCCGACACCTAGATGATTGCTTTAGTTAGCCACACCGGTTTCCATCCAGGCCGCATTGCGCTCTATCAACAAGCTGATACAAGTGTAGTAGGGCTATCCCAGAGGTACCTACCTTGAACGGTACCACTGACCTTGAATGCAATCTGTATATCATATCAGCATCGCTTCTACCCTGGAAGTAATGACGTAACAGATGGATGTGGGGTGTGTTATCTTGTGCCGGCCATGAGGGGAGGGACTGTACCCGTTGGGTAGACATGTTGAGATAGCTGTGTTTCTTTCTGGAGCGAGTATTCCTGCAAATATCGGTCTATATCTTTGTCATAGCAGTATTGTTGTTTAGCTCATGTTCCAGCAATCGAAGTGGTTTGTAGACCCATTAGTCATCTGCCATCACGAAGAGTTGTGACAGGCTGTTTGTCAACTACAGTACGGTCCATGTACTCACACTTGACCGGATTCGGTTCGTGTACAAAGAGTCAACTGGCATTAAAGTTGAGTCTAGACAATGATCCTTATTTTATGATAGCTACAAAGATATCTTGACACATCACCGTTCGATGTCTCGTCTTGAGTATTGACGTCATTCTATATATCTTCGGAGCGATGTTGGTTCTTTTGGTATCTTCGTTCTTTGTCAGAACAGTAAAACGAATACTACCTTTCTTCCCATTCTTCCATGCCTAGAAGAGTACATATGGTCAAGTTGAATACTTTGATAGAAGTTCATCAGGACGAGTCACCTGATTCCCCCAGATCACGACTGTTGGAGGTGAACCCGTGATTCCGCTTATCGCCAATCAACGTCCCGCCCCTGAACCAATAATAGATCCTCGGATTGTTCCCTCATATTGTTGTTTCTCCGCAATCAGTCCCCCTCGACACATCTCTGAGGGGCTCTGGCCACGCAATGCTCCTTTAAAATGACTTCAATTCTCTCTTGGTTCCGACGGCTATATTCTCTGGATACATTGGATACTCGTTTCATTGTCTCGTCAAATACTCCGCTGAAGGCCGTCGCTGCTGACACGCGATCTGCTCCCGCCAAAGATGCCCGCGCAAATGCAATTGCCAGCAATGCTGCTCCTTCTAAGTGGCGCACGCCTGAGTTCTGGGTATACTATGTCATCTTTCTCATCGCGGTACCGTTGATGTTCAAAACGGTTATCGAAGTGTCACAGGGTATGGCATTCTGCGCCAACAGAGACGGCCAATGCTGACTATGCTTTAGAGAGTCATCCGACCTATCCAACATACTCTCATTTACTGTCCCCTGGCTGGATAGTTGGGCGCAAAGTGGTAAGTACTCTGGTCTATACTATGCTGCATGCTGTTGCTAATTCTTCGCTTCTTGAGTAGGACAATTCGGATGCGCAGTATTCCAGCTTCCGTGATAACATTCCCTACCTGCTCGCGCTTTTGGTTGCCCACCCACTGCTCCGTCGTGTCTACGAACGTCTTGTACAACA